ACTCCTACAGAGTTAGTAACCAACCTTTGGTGTTGGTAGACATACACCTCTGTACTTCCAGGACAACGTAGGGAAAACTGGATTAAACTTGAAGGGAAGTTTAGCATTAAAAAGACAAAGGTTGGCAACACCTAGTATTTTGTTAAAACTGTTTTTAAATTCCTCTTCTAAAAACAGAGAACTGAAAGGAAAATATCAGAATTGTATGTGCAAAGGGTTGGCAAAAGCATTGTGATTCCTTTTTTTCTAAGATTTTCTTGTGAAACATTTTCTTGTGAAATTATGAAAAGTAGACTGAATTACATTTTCCAATGGAATTATTACAGTAGAATATTTGCATCTACTGAGGAATAGGTTTTCTGCATTACTGTGCAATGTTATGAATTTTTTTAAATCGGAGATATTTAATCTCTCTAGAGATGCTCTTTTCAAATTTGGCTAAAATGCTTCAATGTAATTGAAACTGAAAATTTCCCAATTATATTTGAAATTCAGAAATACTAAAAATTAATTTAAATAATTTTGAGTGTCAACTAATGTCAGAGATCCTAATTAGTGGAGGGACTTGGACAGATTCTTCATTCTTTTCTAGTTACCTTTCCTTCTCAGCTTGTCTGCATAATTAGTTCCTTTCTACAACATAATCTGAATTTTTAAGATCCATCTTTCCTTTAGTCAAATAATCACACAGTTTAACAGTAATTTTAAGTCTAATCTTTTATAGGTAAAGCCATCTTGATAAACATTGTTTTGTTTAGTAAAAAAAAAGTGGTATTGCTTCAGCCAGAATCACAAGTATTTGAGATAAATTTTTCTCTGGGAATTATTATATTTTTCTCACATAATATGAATATTGAACTAATACAACTTATTGAATATGGTTACTTTTTCACATAACTTCTGCTTCCTTGGCATTGTTCTTTGTCTTTTCTTTGTGCTTTGCTAATTGGTTTACTTTTCTTCTTCTAGAAGAGAAGCTCCTCCTTTCATAATGAAAACTTGTTTGAAAAGCTATGACATTCAATAAAAGTCTTTCTAGACTTCAGTGGAATTTGAGAAGGTCTCCTGCAGGGAGCAGAAGAGTGGGGTTGCAATGGGAGGCTTGGCACATGGTTCCTTTGGAAACTCTTCCAAGGTCTTCTGTTTCTCTAGAATCATGACAACACCACAACAAGCAAGGAAACACCTTTTTCTGGCAAATTAAACATACAGATTATGCAAAGGGAGACTTTGCACTTCTGCTTGTTGGGAAGAAAAAGTGTAAAGTAATTACATTAACCCTTAAACATCTAGAATAAATCACTGAACATGTTCATCAGTCAGTGTTACAGATGATCACTGGGACCAGTATGTGCTGCAGCATCATCTTCAAAAGCAAGAGGACATTACATTAATATAAGCTGATGCAGAAAATGTACTGGAGAGTCGAAGGGAAAAAATATTGGCTGCAAATTCCTGTAAAAAGACAGAGCTCCCTTCCATCCTTTTTTACTTCCTCAAAAGAGTCATCTAGGTCAGTACTGGTTTGGGATCTTACACCAAGACCTGGAAGGCAGCTGTGGAAGTTCATTCTCCTGACTCTACTATAGGCTCTGAGGAGCCCCTTTTGCCAACCCAGCTGTTTGCTGTACACCTGCAGGTGGGTGCTCTTTGCTGCCCCTGTTCTGCTTGGAGACAGCTAATGGGAAGAGCTGAAACTGTGAATTACCTGCACAGGAAGGAGAGGGCAGGGCTAAGGCACTCACAAGTCACTGTGACCTGCCAAAGCACCTCTAGCTGTTGTCACTTCCTCCAGACCTGAACTGCCCAACAGTATAGGCAAACATATTACTTAATATGTTACTGTTAGATGTAACCTGTTAAGGCATCTAGACAAATATTTAACTCTCATATGATAGCAAACTTACGTTAACCAAATTTCTTGATGTCCTCTAGTTGCAGAAGTACTAATCTTCAAATACATTCCCCCCCAAAAAAAATTACTAAGCCATCAGATTTGATTGATCAAAGCTATTACTTTTATCTAATGAACCTGATTTTTAAACTTTTTTACTCTTCTTCACACAGCATGTTTCTGACTTCACTCTTCTGTCCCCAAGCCCACTTATTTTTATATTGCAAAATTGTTGTTGACTTGCAGGAAAAGTGAATACAAACACTGTTAATCCCTCTTAATCTGATCCATTTTTATTCTTCCAAATCCTCTTCTTCAACTGATTTTGCATGTTTCTGTCCTTCTTGGTTTGTTGTGGATTTGTTTGCTTGTTTGTTTACAAGGGGAGGAATTTGAAGCCTGCTCACAGGTTTCACTTTGGAAAGTCTTAGGCATGTGCTGGTGGCTGATGAACCTACTTCCAATGTCTACAGTTCAATGCCAGTCCATCAATGTGAAAATATAACTTCCTTTACCAAGTGAATGAGTGCCATGATTTAAACATCACTCAGTTTTGCTGAGCATGCTGCAGGATTTTGGCAGTTGGGGATAAACAGGCAACAGTTTATGTGTACATTTAATTTGTGTACATTTAATTTGCTCCCTTTATAAAGTAGCTCATGTTTTTACCACCCGATAGAAAACATTTTTGGTTGATCTCAAAAGTCATCTGGACATGATCCTGGGCAACTGTCTCCAGGTGCCTTGGGAATGTGGGTTGTATCAGATAGCTTCCTGAGGTCCTTTCCCACCTCAGCCATCCTGGGGTTCTGTGAAAATGAGGACATATCCCACAGTTTGACTGGAACGTTCAGCCGTGAAAGACCCTTTCACAAATGTTTTCTCTTAACCTTTCGCTTAATCTCTTTAAGCCCTCCACTGTTTGAAACACTTTGCAATTATTGGGTCTGTAGCAATGGAAGTCTAATGTTGTTGATTATGTGGGAGCCATTGGGCCTTTCCATACTGGCAGAGCCATGTTCAATTATTTTACTTTATGAATTATTAGACAGAAGTTAATACCTTTCTTTTAAATGCTACATTTAAACTAAATGGGACATATCCCTCCTTGCACCGTGTAGTAACAATTTTTTATATTGTGGTCCTATATCTACTATGGATAATTTATCTTTCATGGATGGCTGCCCCTTTTTTCTGCAAATGCTTTTACCTACAGCCTTACTGTGTATACACTGAAAGTGCTGAAAGTACATAGCTAAGGAAATTACTAACAGAAAAAAAAAAGAACTAATCTAATTGCATTTCAATGTACTTATTGGGCTGTTGACTGCACAGGTAAATAACTTTTGTGGCCACTGCTGAAAAAAAAAAAACAAAAACCAAAACCCAAAAAAACTTTTCTGCCAAAGTGAATGTTTGATTTGTATTACTTTTTGAGAAGATGCCAGTCAGTTTGCTGCTGTGGTCTTCACAGGTGTTGAGTGCGCTGGCCAACACATTGACATGTGTGTAGACCAACAGTGAAATTGTATGGCTGCCCAGACCCATGGCAAAATCCCCCTTGGCTTCCATGGATGCATGTCTCACTCACATGGTGAACACTCAGGGAATCTCTAGTTGAAGTCAATAGTTTGTGAAGCCTTTGGGAATGGCCTGAGCAAAGCCAAGTGGGGAAGACTGAGAGCTGTGCCAGGAAGATGGTAGGGATGCAGGGAGAAAGTCCCGATTTGCCAAGGATGGGATCCAGCATGGTCATACAGGGTCTCTTGTCATGACTGGCCTCCTGCTGGCTCTGGTGGCAGGGCCACATCAACGGTCTTGGTGGTGGAGAGCCACCCATCCTACTGCTGTGGCCGCTTGTCTTGGTCCTTGTTGTTATGAATAAAAAGTTATCTATGTTTTTTAAGGCTGCGGAGTTAAAACAAGGAGAAGGGTGTGTCATCAGAGCTAGTATGCAGATCAGAATGCATTTCACTGAATTTTGTAACTTTCCAGGAAAAAAACCCCTAAAAACAATGAGCCAACATAGAATTAAAAGACCTAAGTGATGTCTAAGGATGAGGAACGTAGTCCAGTACCTGCTACGATCCTTTTCACTTCTCACCCTAACCTGAAAAGATGTTAACTAGAGAGAGGACCCGAAATGTTAAACCGAAAAGGTGGAATCTCCTAATCTCTCGTGAGGACGGAAGCCCCAGCTCTGCCTGCAGACCAGCGGACACAGCTGCATCACCCTCCTCCTCCGTGCCACTCCTGGGAGTGACTGCGGCGTGGACGCGACCCGTCGGTTTCTCCCCACCTGAGCTGATTCTTTTTAATAAAGGCATAAAAAAGGAGAAAGATCTCCTGCCCATTTATTTCACTTGTGGTATGGCTGTTGCCTGCCTGCACAAAGGGTTGGCTCTGTTTGCATCTTGTGTCCATCAGAAACCATCTGCCATTACGGGAAGAGCAAGAACAACTGCATTGCAGCGAGCTGTCTTCCATCACACCTCAGAGCCTTACAGCGCCATGGGTGTGGCAATGCCACGCTCCTAGGTGGTGTCGCCAGAGAGGCCCTGTGCCCGCGCCCTGCCCCATGTCCCTTCTGGCCCAGGCGCCATGTCCCAGCCCAGCCCCGCCATGGCGCCAAGGCATGTGAGCCCCGCCCCCAGGAGCGTGGCCAATGGGAAGCCTTCCCACCAGGCCTCGCCTTGCCCCAGTGGCCAGCGGGGTGGGCGGGGCTTCCAGAATGCAGCAGATGCAAATGAGGCTCCACCCATCCCGCCATGAACTCCAGTGCTGGGTGGTCATGTGGCAGCCTCGTGTGATGGTCAAGGTGTCATCAGGCTCCTCCCCGGGGTGACGTCACGGCTCTCGCGAGAGCGCTCAGTGCTGCCCCTCAGAGGTGTGAAGGGGCGCAGGTGAGGGCCAGGCTGGGCCCCGCCCCCGCCCGAGGTCCCGCCTCTAACCCCGCCCACCCCATCCGGAGACCCAATGAGAGCGCTGGTTGAGTCTCTCCCCATTGGCTGGCTGCCTGCCATGCAAATGAGCCTCGGCGTCATTTCCTCTGGTAGATCGAGCGCCATTTTCTCTTTCTGGCGGTTGATGCGGCGCGGGCGGCGCGCGGGCGGCGGGCGCTGAGGGAGGCGCGCGCGGGGCGAGGCGCGCGCGGAGCTCCGGCCATGCCGCCGCCCCCTCGGGGCGCGCATTGAGCGCGGCGCCGCCGCCAGGCCGGGAGGCGGGGCCGCGGGAGCGGTGGCACCGGGCAGCGCCGGGGGCAGAGCCGGAGCCGTGAGCGGCGGGTGGCGGCGGTGCGGGACTGCGGCGGCGGTGGCCGCAGGAGGAGGAGGAGCGGGAGCAAGAGCCAGGAGGAGGAGCAGCAGCAGAGCGGCGGGGGCTCCGCCTGCAGCCCGGCCGGGTACGTGCGGCGGGGCGGGGCGGAGGGCGGTGAACGCCCCGGTGGCTGCGCGATTTCGGCTCGGAGGGCGCTGCGAGCTCAGAGCGGCTTCCCCGAGCGGGCGGGGAGGGACGGGACGGGTCCGGCGTGGCCCCGTCGGGCGAGGCGTTTTACGCGGGGGTGCTCCCCCGCTGCCTCGCCGCTGCTGCGGGCTGTGAGCAGCTCGTTATCACCGCCCGTCTTGAGTGTTGGTGATTTAATTCTAGGTCGCACTTCAGCGATGGAGTGTCTAAGGAGCCAACTTAATAGCTTGCTTTGAAGTCTGGATTAATAATTTGAATTGCTTTTAATGAATTGTTTTGGTTTGAATTGTTTTGTGGCAAACTGCGGCAGGGACAGGAGTGGCACACGTACAGAAGCAGCACTTCATCACCGGTTAATGGAACCAGTTAATGGGACGCAAAATTACGTTGAATATCCTTGTGGTGCCTCAGCAGTGCATACATTTAGAAAGAAAGTTTATGAATAATGTAAACAAACACAACTCACACAATGTAAGCCGTGAAAACCATTTGAATGTGCTTGCTTTGTGGTCGAGAGCAGGTAATGGGGAATTCCAGTTGTCCTGGTTTGTAAACAGAATAAAAGACACGTGTGTAACTCCTGTTGCAGCGGTCCAGAGTCCTGTACTGTCAAAGTTATGAACAACTCACTTTCAGCAGATAATGTTTCGATGGGTTAATTACTTGGGAGGAATTGGATGTTGTCCTTAACAGTCTTCTGTCAAACAAAAATCTGTGTTTGTTAAAAACAGTTGTAAAGAGCTATAATTAAATACTTAAAAACATTCCTGGGATATTGAATATATTCTAGAAATCCTAGTGCTCCTTTTAATAAACTTAATCTTTAATTTTAATTAAAAAAATTTAGTTTCTTTAGCACAATATTTAGAGGAACTGGGTAAGAAATAAAGAATATGGTAATCTGCAATAAGACTTATTATAAGGTAGAGTGTATATGATAAGCTGTAGTAATTTATGTCGTTTATTTCATGGAGGTTTTGTGAAAAACAACATCCCCCACAAATTACAGCAAATCTTTAGAAACAAGAGCACACACAATTTTGGTATATCTTATGTTTTTCCATTGGGAATTCCTGGAGTTGGGCTAAGTCTTACTGAGTGCTGGTGGAGCTGGTTTGTGTTTGAACACTTTAGTTCCTCTGAAACCTGGGGGGGTTCAGTTCTGTCCCCTTTCTGACTTGTTAAGGTTCTGGATTGTCTGTGCTGTGGACTGTTGTGTGCATTTGTAATGTGCAAAGTCTTCTGGTCACACCAGGCTGATGAGTGCAGCACAAATGCAGTGGTACTTCCCCCTGGAATAGCCGAGTCTTCTGCTCACATACACATGGGGCTGACAAATCCTGCAGGATTTGAGTGGGCTCCGTCAGATGCTTACATCACCTAGGATGAGCTTGGATTGTGCTGGATTCGGGTTCTGGCCAGTGCCCAGAAGGGACTCCCAAGGGAGTCAAAGTATTGTGTGAGTTAGTGCTTTAGGAAGGCTCCAGGAGTTTAAATGGTGTAGTGTCCCTTAGCTTCTTCTCACCAGTCTTGGATAGCAGGGACTTGGTAGTGTGTTAATGAACCATCACAATAGTTGTTTAAACCACAGTAGCTGTATTTAGTGATCTAAATTTGATACGTTAGGTAAGATGCAGGTTGTGCTGCATCTCAGTCTATACCATCACATATCTTGCTGCTCTTCATTGTGTGTTAGCAGCTGTTGAATGATGGTTGTCTTGGTGTTGGGCAGGGTGACCTTTTTAACAGGTATGTGATTTATAGCCATGAAAAGCGCAGAATTATTGCGACTCTTAAGAGATCTGTGATTTGAAATGCCTGGAGGTTTCTGATGTAGCTGGACAAAGAAGAGTTAATTTTTTTTCTTACTTGAGATTTCTGTTAAGTTGCTGTTGGATAGAAATTTGGATATAAGAAGATAAACTACTTTGACCAGAACTGCTCTTTGTAAGTTTTATTAGAATATATTTTAAATTATAACAGATTAAACAATGAACAAGAATAGCATCCATTCTATTTAATCAACTTTTTCTTTAGGAAGCTTTCTTCCCTCTCCCTGCATAGGTTGGATAAGCTTTGATGGTGCTGATGTACTTGTAAATCTGGTTAGGTCTCTTTCAGAAGGCAGAGATAAGAGTCCAGGAAATGGAACTGACCATGTAATGTGTGGTTGAGCAGATACTCAGGTGTGACTTCTTAGAGGATGTGCAGGCTTACCAGAAACAAAATAAAATTGGTGAGGGTAAAATTTGGTATGACCGAGCCAAACTCTCATTCTTCTAGGCAGTTTCTTAGTGCACCTGTCCTCCTAGCTGCTCTCTGCCATCCAGTGTTCTTGTTCCTTGGGTTCTTGAAAATAGATTACATGCGTTCATTCTGCTTTCAGGAATGAAGCAGTTTTTATTGTTTTCTGAACTAATACTGAATTGTCAATTTCTAATTTACTATAATGAAAATAATTTTTGGGGACCCTGGGAGGCATTCCCTGGGTTGGGGAGATACAAGAGGCTTTCCTCAGGGGCTGTTGGGACCCCATTGGCTCCTTCCCCTGTTACTATGTCCCTCAGCCACTCTCTCCCTATTCTCCTATTGGCCCTCATCTTTGTACTGCCCAAGAGCACGGTTCAGCCCCTGCCTCTGGGGAGAGGGAGAAACCAGGACTCCCCTCATGAGTGTGCCTTGGACCCTGAACATCTCACCGTGTGGCTGAATTAAACATCTGTGGATACCATGCAAAGGCCCTTTTTGCTTCCTTAGCCTGGACTTCACTAGCAATATTCCAGCCGCAACATAATTTTGTATTGGTGCTTGTCAGTTCTGAAAACTGCTGAAATACAAGTTGGTAAACAAACCTTTCAAAATACTCCAATCCAAATATTTCCAACCTGTACATTTTTATAAAGGCCCTATAGAAGGTACAAACCTTATGAAAAGACGAAAGAGATTACAAAAATCTCTTTCTCAGTTACTAATGACAGTTACTAGATAAAAGTTACAATAACTTAAGAATGATTCAGTTTCCAAGGCAGATACTATGAAAGGACTAAGTTCCATTAGTCTTTCATAATTTCCCTGCCTAAAGCAGTTCTTTGAGCAACAAGCAAGTGAAGACCGACCACTTAGGAACGCATCTGGAGATCTTGCTTCTGTACAGATTACCTGGTGTCTAAACGGGTTACATTACAGCTGTTTTCTCTGTGGATCTTCAAACATTCCTCTTTTCCTGAAAACTCTAGAAATGCCTGGATTTTGCAGGAATTATTTGCATGCCCTTTGAAGGCACATATGTGCATCTTCCTTTTGCCAGCTCCATACCAACTCCATTTTCATTTGCTTGCAAATGCCTACTTCCTGTAGGAACACAAACAAAAGTGGTGCTGATTTCATGTAAGGAATAAAGCTCTCGATGTGAACACAGTCTGCCACTGGAGGAGGTTGTTCAGGGGGGCTGCCAAACCTGACTGGCCAAAACAGAGTGCCCTGGCTGCAATTAATGATTGAGCTTGCTTATAGGAAGCTGGACTGGGTGTCCTCGAGGTTCCTTCCAAGGTGAATGAGAATGTTTCTAGAGAAGTAGAATGAATAGGAATTTAGCATTTTGTGATGACTTCTCACTTTGAAGAGGTGCAGTGTTAGTGTTTCCCCCCTTTTTTTTTTTTTTTGTAATGCAGAGAAATAATAGTAAAATGTAGTTACTTGAAAAACTGGTGTCTTTGTCTACCAGTACAGATACTGTGCAGACTGTTACCTTGTCTTTTAGGCTAGTCTTAAAATACTGCAGTACTGCTGGGGGAAGAGTTGCATTTGTGATCTTTGGAAAGTCAAATGTAGTTAGTTGGGTGTTACAATCTATGGTAACAAATACAGAAATGAAACAAACCCATAGTGTTGAATAAAGCTCCACTGGGTATATCATTATGGAGATGTTAGCTGAACAAGCAACAAATAGGAATAGCTCAATGGCTAAAATGCCTGAGCAAGAGTTGGATGGCCTTCTTAGAACTGAATTTGAGACATCAGCTCTAAAATTATTCTTTTATTTTGCTAAAAACTTGACTTGGTTCTGTTTAAGACGTGGCACTAGTCTGAAAGCTCAGTGGATGATCAGGTTTTTTGGAAACAACAATTAAAAGCTGTGATGGATAAATTTTTGTCTTTTAGACAGGCAGCACAGTAATACGACAAAGACTCTTGGTAACCCTTGTTCAGTTTAACTGCAGTCCTTTCGTGTTGAATTTGCTGATTAAGAATGGAATGTGGACCAACAAATTCATGGAACCAAAGTGCAAACTAAACCTTGAGGAATGTCCAAAATAAAAGAAAAATTATTAGTGTGAAAAATGTGGATAATAGATTTCATAATAATCAAGGAATTAAACTGAGGACTTGAGGGAATAAGCTTAGAAGGTTGATCTTTTGTGACCTTTATGATGGGGTCTAATGGATAGAGAGACTCCAAGAGGGTAGATTTAGCTTGGATATTAGGAAGAAATTCTTAACCGTGAGGGTGGTGAGGCGCTGGCAGAGGTTTTCCAGAGCATCTGTGGATGCCCCATCCCTGGAAATGTGCTAGGCCGGGTTGCATGGGACTTTGAGCAGTCTGGTCTAATGGGAGGTGTCCCTGCCCATGGGAGTAGGTCTGGAGCTAGATGATCTTTAAGATCCGTTCCAACCCATACTATTTTGTGGTTCTGGTGTGAGATCCTTTAAGATCCATACTTCCAAGAATGTTGTTTAAATACCTACTGAATAACATTGCATGTGATTGCACGTAGTGGCCTTTGGATTGAAGACCAACTTTTTGAACACTGGAAAATAACTTCTATTCAAGATTTTTCTGGTATGGTGGAGGTTTTATTGTGTTTTTCTTTCTCCTGGATAAATAATTTAAGGGTAATTAATAATTTTATTTCTTCTGCATTAATAATTTCAGAATGATTACTGATTAAGAGAACTGTTGGGGTACATAGGGTACATATGCTCTATTGACTGTTTCTTATTTGTGAGCTAGACATACTTCAAGAAATGCCTGCATCACCTTCTTCTGGAGCATCAGTGTATGAGTTGGAAGACTGAGATGGGGAAACTGTTTCCATTGGAGCCTAATGTATTGAACCATATTTCCTTCTGGCTGATCACCACTGGGCATGGTGGTGTCCAGTCAGCTCTGTTGTTACCCACACTGGACTGTGGGGTTGATGTGCATAACCTGCTGTCATAGAGGGACTGATCTTAAAGCTTTAACTAGGGACTCTGCAAATTCCTGATGACTTTAAAAAGAGTATTTTATGTCAAATTTTTGCTCATTGCATTTTGAGAGAATGCCAGACCGGTTACTCTGATTTATTCCATTCTGTATAGGTTCCTGTTCTACACCCACCCTGATGGTATCAGAATGTCTTCTGGACTTGGTGATAAAAAACATTAGAAAACAAGACTAGCATCTGTCAAATGGGGTTCTCTCTCCATTTCTCTCTACACACCTTTCCTTTCAGGGGAGAAGAAGCAAAGAATAGTATGTGAGTTGTTTGAATTTTAATCATAAATGCTTCAACTGTATGTTTTGTACATAAATTAAGGTTTGGGGTGGTTACATACAGGCTGGAACGTTTTTTATATGGTTTGTGGGTTTTGGGGTTTTTTTGAGCCTTAGCTTTTAGTTAGTGTCTTATGTGCAGAGGGATTTTGCAGCTATTTGCATGAAAGTCCTATCATTCAAAGTAGAGCTTTCATGTTGGCAGGGAGCTTGCTTTTTTTGGTAAAGTACAGCTTTTCAAGACATTTGAGACTGTATGTACTGAAGTACTGTTTGGAGATTTCCTCTATTTTTTTTTTTCTTTTTCTTGTTCAGGTGTGTCCTGAATGGATGAATTGTTTAGCGATAAGAACTAAGATGTTGCAAATGCTCCTGGATCCTTTGTCATCTATTTAAGCACCAAATACTGGAGAAGCTTCCAGTGACCTTTTTCAGTGCAGGCTTAGGGTTAGGTTTTGCATTCTGTGTCCATTGTAGTTTCTTAAAGCTCAGTCTAATCTTGCTGTAATCTAGGAAGGAGTTGACGAAGACTGAGCTTTTTTTTACTTCTAAAGCTGAGCCTATGGAGATACCTTACAAGTTTGCAAAAGTAGAAGCTTTTGCAGGAAATCTAGATTTTACTAGCAATCATATTTTAAGCATGTAAATGGTTGATAGCAAACAAAATTATCAAAAAGACTTCTCATCTTGATGCTGAAATTTAAGGTGAAAGGTGTGCAATTTCTCCTTAAATGATATGATAATAATTTTCTGAATAGAACTTAATAAAATTCTGGAGTTCATGTTCTTTTACAAAAACCCTACAAAATCATTGTTCCTGCCATGTAGATACAAGGAGATCTGAAAGAAAAATTTGGAATTTTCTGTAGATAGAAGAAATATAAAGATTCCCCCCCCCTCCCATTACATTCTGTTTCCTTTAAAATCAGTCAACTGTTCTACTTGGGAAATGCTAATGAGCCCACTTCTTTGGCTTAAGGATTTTGGGGTTTCATATTTAAGAAATGGCATCCTGGCCCATATCAGCAAGAGTGTGTCCAGCCGGACTGGGGCAGTGATGACCCTGTGCTCGGCACTGGTGAGACCTCACCTTAAGTGCTGTGTCTAGTTTGTGCCCCTCAGTACAGGAAAGACATTGAGGAGCAGGAGTGAGTTCAGAGAAGGGCAGTGAAGCTGGGGATGGATCTGGAGCACAAGTCTAGTGAAGAGTAACTGAGGCAGCTGGGGGTGTTTAGCCTGGAGAAAAGGAGGCTCAGGGGAGACCTTATTACTCTACAGCTGAAAGGAGGCTGTAGCCAGGTGGGGGTTGGTCTCTTCCCCCAAGTAACAAGTGACAGGAAAGGAGCAAGTTGCACCAGGGAAGGTTAAAATTGGATATTAGGAAAAACTTCTTCAGGAAAAGGGTTGCCAAGCACTAGAATGGGCTGGCAAGGGAAGTAGTTCAGTTCCTATTTCTGGAGGTATTTAAGACACGTAGGTGTAGTGATGAGAAGCATGGGTAGTGACTGTGATGGGTTAATGTTTGAACTCTATGATCTTAGAGGTCTTTTCTAACCTAAATATTTCTATTCTCTGACTTTCCAGATTATAGTTCTTATTTTAACACGCTTAAATGCTAGTACCTGTGTTCAAGTATTTAGTCCATTTTTTCATTCCTTTTTATTTTTCCTCTTCTTTTTTTTTTTTTTTTTTTTTTCTTTTTTTTTTTTTTTTTTTCCTTTGCTTTATTTTTTGGTTGTTGTGGTTTTTTTTTCCCCCCAGGAAAAGTGCAAAATGTTTCAAATTCCTGTTCAAAACCTTGATAATATAAGGAAGGCTCGAAAAAAGGTGAAGGACATTCTTGTGGATCTTGGGCTTGACAGCTGCAGGGAGTTGTTGAAGGTAAAGTATTTGAAAGAATGTAAACCAATCTGAAGTGTAAACTCCTGACAAATATTTCATTTTCTGGTGTATATATAACAGATTTTTGGTCCTTACATCACATCAGGGGTTACTGGCTGCTCATACCCAGGGCATGAATTTAGTGTGTTAGTATTTAACAGTGCAAGAAGGTGTATTTCTTAACAAGATGTGTCATAGATGGCGCCTCATATTCTGTTAGTAATGTTTCAACAGAAAGAAACAGTACAGCTTTAGGAAAAAATTACCATAGAATAATGAATTGTTATTTGTGTGCAATGCAGCAACTTTTTTCAATTCTTTTAAGATTTCAAGCAGATGAGGACTTGAGTCTCCTCAAAGACATCCCATCACATACTAAGGGCAAGCTTCTGAAGGGACATACAAATCATCTGCGTTTCTGAAAATGGATAAGCCTTTAAACTTTGTGTCTGGTGAAAAATACCAAAATGGTCTTACCAAATTGTAGTTTGGTTCCGTATCTTAAAAAGTATATGCAGGTGTACTGGGTGATTAAAATAAACCTTGTACCACTGTTGCCACTTTGAGAAGGAAATTTGTGCATCAGTCAGGAAGAATGCACACCATCAGATTGGCAGCCCAATACCAGAAAAGGTGCAAACACAGCAATGTAACTCCATTTCTTAACAATAGAGCGTTTCAGTGAGCTGGTGCACAGGCTTTTTTGGTTGTTGAATACATTCACGCCTTCACATTGACAAGAGGTTGATTGCTTCTGTATGGCAGTACTAAAGTAGATATAACACCCTGTGAGGGTGCTGTTATGTCTTTTGTGGTGGTTTCTTTCTGAAGCTCTATAAATAATTGGAAAAAAAATGTTCAAGACCACATGCATGACTTATTTTGGAACCTTCTTTGTTACTGCGGTTGAACAGTTTTGTATATATCTAAATATTGTAATAGCTCAAGGAAAATCATAATGTCTATTAATTTCCATTTACTTGCTGTTTTTATTTTGTTAATATTCTGTAATCACACTTGTAACTCAGGAGCTTAGTCTGTCTTGACCATTGGAAGCAGGAATGTTTTGATGGTGGCAGGTTTTTAGTATGAAATTGCTTGTGGTCTCTTTGATTGTTGCATGAACTTCATGACAAATAAGTAATAAGTTGTTTTGTATTTGGTTGGGTTTTTGGTTTAATGCGCATTTAGTAGGTTTTGCTTCATTTTTAAGTAAAAAATGGTGGTGGGAAACCCAGCAAACATTTCCACTGTAGAAAAACCTCTATGAGATTAGGGCCAAAAAATACTGTATTAGGTTTTTCTTTTTGCAAATAATTCTCGCTCAACCAAGTTGATAACTTCAGTTTGTTTTTTCTGGGTAATCTGGGGCTGGTTTTGGTGCAACTTTAGCAGTATAGCTTGATCTGTACTTGGTTCATATGATGGTGGTATTTCTTTTTGGTAGCATGGGATGTGTGGGGTTTTAATAAAACTTAGAAGGCCTGAGATTGAAGGCACCTTGAAAACCCCTAGTGAGAAGCACCTAAAGCTTGTTTTCTCAAATATTGAGATGGATTTTTGGACTCTTTATGAAGGGGCTGGACAAGAAATGAATTGAAATATGATATGCTACAAACATGACCTGAATCTGGTCTTGCGCTATTGTAATAAGGCACGAAAATGGACAATAGTTAGTGAGGAAGATGAAGGAATGTAATGTATGACTAGTACCTCTCTGTAGGAATACACCTCTCATGGAGGCACTGGCACTGTGCCAGTGTCAATCCATGACATTACTAGTCATACAGGATTAGTTTTTAGGCTAATTGATCTCTGCTAGGAAGAAAACATGAGCATTTTGGCTGGAGTACTAGTTTGATTCTCCAAGTATTGTGTTTAAGTACACTGTAAGGTCAGAGGTTTTTCTTTAATAAACTGTTTTAGCTTCTCTAACCTACTGTGATCTTTAGGGCCGTGAAGGTGATTGGAGGGCTGGAGCACTTCTGCTCTGAAGCTGAAGACATCCTGAGAGAGCTGGGGTTTTCAGCCTGGAGAAGAGAAGGCTTTGGGGAGACTTTATTGCAGCCATTCAGTACCAGAAGGGGGCTCATAAAAAGGAGGGAGAGGGACTTTTGATACAGACAGATAGGGACAGGACAAGGGGCAGCAGTGGTTTAAACCGGAAGAGCATAGGTTTAGATTAAATGTTAGGAATAAATTCTTTATTCAGAGGGGGCTGAGGCACTGGTACAGTTGCCCAGAGGAGCTGTGGATGCCCCATCCCTGGCAGTGTTTAAGGCCAGGTTGGATGTGGCCCTGGGCAACCTGGTTTAGTGAGTGGCATCCCTGCCCATGAGGGGGGGGGGGGCGGGCCGGAACTAGGTGATGTATAGGATACTTTCCAACCCAAACCATTCCATGATGCTGTTCTATGATTCTGTGTCTTCATTTAAACTCTTAGCTTTTTATGTTTTTGTTAAGGAAAACCGTTGTAGTTTTAATACAGAGGGAAGAACAGTTCTTAGTTTAAAAATGTTTTTCTCTTCAACTTAAAAATACCTGTTATGCATAAGGATTAGTCAGGCTTCTCAGTGGACTTTGTTCCTTTCCCTTTGCCTGCTTTCATCCCCTCCTGGAAGTGAGTAATGTGGAAAGGTCATAACTAATTAGTAGATCTTTGTTTAAAGCAAGTGTTCAACAGCCATTTGCACCACTGAGGAGTTGTATTGATAAGAATGGTTATTTTTATTAGTAGATATTCCTCTGTAGGAAATAGTCATTTCAGCAAAATTATCGAGTTGTATTTCCTGTGTTTGGCTTGTGGGGATCTGGTGTGTAAGTGTAGGAGCCTGTCACTCAAACCAAAACCAAAACATGCTTCAGATAAGCCATAACTTTAAAAAACTTTTTTACAGTGTGTGATTCACTCCAGCGTGTTCGTCTGAAAAAGTTTTAGTAAGTCTCAAGTCTCTTCATTTTCTCTATCAGAAATAGTTCACTAAAATTCTGGGATTTCTCTTGTTGCATGAAAGGGTACTTTCTAAGGTTCCTGGGGGTTTTGTGGTTTGTAATTGTTTGGTTTTTTTTGTTTGTTCCGTTGGTTTTTTTTTTTGGTTTTTTTTTTTTGGTTGGTTGGTTGAAGGGCAAATACATGACTCATTCAGTGTCTAGGGTTGATTAGATTGTAGGGGATTTGTTTATTGTTGCCCTGAGCTTTTCTGGTTTCTCTGAGCATACTTGATGGTTGAAAAGTGTATTGCAAACTCAGTTGCTACTTTTTTCTAAATTCTTGAATAATGAAGTTAAAATCAAATTTTCACTGGCATGATGTTCTGGCTTACTGTAATCTGCTGAACATGTAGGAATGGTCATATTTGCACAGTGCAAATGGACAAGAGCCTAGTGCAGACAGAGCATGCATTCAGTAGGATTAAGTATTTTTTTGATTGTTGAAACTTTGTTGCTCCTTGTTGCTGACTTTATTCTGTGTGGCTGCTAAATTTTACGTAACACAAACTAATAAGTTTATGAATTCCACTCCTTTTGTAAAGTGAACTGGTCTTAAATGTTATTTATCTGCTTCTGCTGTTGCAGTGGGGTTGGTGAAGAGGTGAAAATCATGCCTTCTCTAAGTATCTTCAGAGTTTTGAGTGAAGAGGGATTTGTGAAAAGGAAGAATGTGAGGGGAGGAGATACAAGTTTTCTGTGGGTAAAGCCTGGATTTGTAGCCTGTGTTCCATCCAAGGCATTCTGGGTGTGCTGTTGAATCTAGTTTAGGGTCTTCAGAAATCCCTAGTAAATGGGAATATAGCTTGAGGGTTTGAGGGGTTTCTTTTTGTTTGTTTTTTTTTTTTTTTCTCCCATTAAGTTTGTATTTAAATATGTGTGGGTCTCAGAAATCTGGAGATGAACTTAGTATTTTTAGGATAGTAGCTGGCTTTGGCTTGAGGGATGTGAACTGCTCTGATGGGATTATTAAAAGAAGGCTGTAAGGACAGTTGCTTTCCCTGACGCAGTTGTAGACACAGTAATACTGTGCTTTTGTAGCTTCAGGAAAAGCAGCTCTTGAAAATCAGCTTTTGTGAATGTTTTGTTTTTCCAAGTTAGAAGTGTAACAGTGTTATGCAGATTTAATACTAAAACCTGTTGCAAAGTAAACTGTAGTGGTAAGTTAATAAAGCAATGAACTAAGCAATGAAATATTACCAGTGAAGGAGGAGGAAGGTAGAGAGGAAAAATACTTCGAGTGTTCACTGTGAACTTGGCTGGAAGCAGTGGAATTCAAGTGTAAATATTTTCACTCCCAATATTATTTTCAGTAACTATGAAATGTTCAGAATTCCTACTCTGTTATTAGGCAGTCACATGAACAAATATTTGAGGTAAAATAAATCAAAGCTGGTCAAAGAAGTAACTCTTTGAATGGAATTTAGAGACTTCCAAGTTATCCTCTGTTTGTGTGGATTTTTCTTTTTTATTTTTCCTTATTTCCTATTGACAATTTCCTTATATTCAGAACAGACTGCCTCATTTTCATTTCTTGTTTTTATTTTACTTTTAGAATCTTAAAAGTGTTGATGCAGGTGAAAACTACTTTTGTAATACTTCATGGAGTGATGTCTCTCCTTGGGACCCTGTGGGCAAAAGGAAGGTATGTATGTTTATCACACAAATTCTGGATAAATGTGTTGTGTGGAGTTGCTGAATTTGACAGTTTTCAGAAATTTGAATGCAGCTTTTTAATGGAAAAAAATAGCTTTAATATTTGTTTTCTAAGTGCTGTTAGTAAGGGAATAATCTTACATTTCCTCTTTGTTTTTCCCTGTAATGCAGGTGGTTGTGAGGACTTCAGTTACCATTTTCAGTCTTTAAGGATACAACCCTGAACATCAGTGTTTAAGATGTCACACTAATATTTTGCCTTTTTAGCCTAACCTAATATGTAGTCTTCACATGGTCTTCTGTACAACGTGACTCCTGTTTCATTGGAAGGGTGAAAATGTGATTGCGTAGATGCAAGTGGATTAAGATGAAATTATTATTAGTAGCTTGGTATGGGGTGGCAGTGAAAAACTTTCCAGTTATATTTGTGTACGTGAAACAGCTTTTAGTTCTGCGTAGCTAGATTCCACAAGAAAGGCAGGATTGACGTGAACAATTCATAATTGTATATAGTAACAAGTTGCTAAGATGCTGTGTCTAGAGCAATGGAGTATGTCCAGAAAAAAATGTAGACTTGTCAGTCTTGCTGAAGAGTCTTGAGGCCCCTCATGGCCTTCTTGTGGAAGACCTGTCAATGAAATTCAGTGTGGAATTGATAACATGTTGCTGTGGAACAGGTTGTGTTCCAAACTTTGTCTTTTGGATACTAACCTTGTTTGTATCCATTTTCTTTAAACAATTTTGGTTTATTAATGTGTATCATTTACATCCTGACTAGATTTGGGAGAAAAGAAGCTGGTCCTTCAGGATGTTCTATTCCAAAGTTGTTGCCATAAGGGGAAAATAAATTGTTTCCTCCTGTAAACTCAGTAGGCTGGAGAAGATGTCTGTGTAGGTGAAGTTGGTGGTTTCCACCATTTGTATTATTTTTAGGGAGACATTAACAGTTCTGGTAGACCTTGGTTTTTTGGAGGATGTTCTGTCTTTCTGCATGATTCTAGGTTGTGGGGAATGTGAGACTACACAACAAAAAGTACTACTATATTCTCGGATAGGCTCTTTGAAGGAGGGTTAATTGAGTTTACTGCAATGTCTCTAATAAGCCTTCTTTTGGATTCCATTTATACAGTTGAAGGTTGGTCAATCTCTAAGATGCTTTGTTTTTCTTAAGTGGCTTGTAATTTTTGTCAAACTTTCTATAAAATTGGCATGCCATTGGTAGGTTTTGGTGAACCTGGAAAAGCAGGTGAGTGAACAGAAAAAGCAGATGAGTACACAAGGAGAACATGCTGGCAGAATGGTTTGTAAAGGGTTTGTGTGGAAGAGCTCTGTTTCATACAAAGAATATCAAAGCAGCGTATTTCCACCTGCTTCTGTTCAGCTGAAAGAGAATTGTTTGGAGTTTTTCCTTTGTCAATTTACTCCTTCAGAAGTAGCGAGGCGTATCTTCTGGTAATGTTCTGTGTGCTTCATTAGTTCATTAGGGTCAGTGGCCTTTCTCTAGGCAGGGTACTTCAAGATTCATGCATCTGCTAATTTGCTTTGTTGCTGTTTACTAGCAGCTAAGATTAGACACCTAAAGAGTATAAATAGAGGATAATTCAGTGATAGCTTAGCAGCATGCTTCTTCAGCAGCCTTAGCCAGCCAGTGGCATTGTCTGGCCCAGTCTTTTGAATTGGGAGATTAGATTCTGGTTATCATCAGGAGACCTCCTAGTGCAGTATTCACATTCTCTGAACAGAGAGACATAATTCTCTCTCCCAGGATTTTTCTTGGGAAAGGCAGTGAGAAAGCTCAGAGAAGGGAATGAAAACAATTCTTATCTCTATTTGCTGCTCCTGTTGTTGGGTACATGTGTAGTGTGTTATGGAGATTGTTTACCGAAAGGGATTTGTTAATTGGATTCTGCTGATGGTTGTTTGGACTGATTGACCAGTTGGGTCAAAGCTGTGTTGTGACTGTCTGGAAAAGGTCACAGGTTTTTCTTTAGTATAGTACAGTTTAGTATAGTATTAGTGTAATATAATACAGCTTAATAAAGCACTTGTTCAGTCCTCTGAATCATGGAGTCTGAGCACATTATTCCCTGGCTGGAGGACGCCCAGCCTCGATACTCCTAGTACTGCTAGGAGATGGCTGGCTGTTGCCTGTAGATGGCTGACTGTAACCTGCATGGTTATATGACATGGCAAAAAAACCCCACCTGCAGGTGTTGTGTTGCTGTTCTTCATGGTATGTCAGTGAGATGTATGTGGGTGATCTAACTGGGCTGGATGCTATAGTGGCAGAACAGCTTGTTCCCTTTGGGTTCTGTTTCATGAGAGCAGAAATCAGTGAGGTGAAAAACATGTCTGAGGGAACAGACAGATTCCACTAGATTTTTGAGTGTGCAGATTTGTCACGTGGATGTGGCTATGACTGATTCTGTAGTTTTTGGCAGTAGCCAGGGTTAACTTCCTAGGAAGTTGATCAGAAAAAATGGTTGATGGGGCTATCAGTTTTTCAGAAAGAACAAATGATGTTCATATGGATATGAAAAGCAGTGCTGTCATGTGACATATTACTGAGGGAGCAAGTCACTGGTTAGTGCAAGATAGATATGTTTTTAAGCTGTTAAAATACTTTTCTGAGAGGAATGTGTATGCTCTATACTGAGCATTTTTGAGGAAATTGCACAAAAAATTACTATGATGGGATGTCCAGTATGTGTGAGTTAATATAAATTGTATGTATGAGTTAATACATCGCTGCTTTATCATAACAGGGGGTTTTACTACTTTCTATTATTATTTTGTCTCCAAAAGAATGTTCTTTAAAAAATTGTTGTTTATGGCTTTGTTGGGAAGGTCTGGAGAGTGTTCAGTGAAGAATAGGGTGTTGCAATACAGAAAAAGAAATCCTTGCCTGTAGAAGCTGAAGGGGGTCAGGACGGTCGGGACAAACACAGATGAGAGATTGCTGAAGCTAGGTCTTGGGATTTGCGGTTTATTGCAGAGGGCGTGAGTGCAGGGGCCCTGCTTGGAGCTGCCAGCCGCAGCTCGGAGCAGGCCCCAAAGAGAGAGGTAAAGAGAGCGGTAGAGAGAGAGAATGAATGCAAGAGCGTGGTAAAGAAAGGTTAGAGAGAATGAAGAGAGAATGTATGAATGGTTCCTGTTACAATACAATAAATCTTCTTCTGTGTTGAATATTCTAATTCTTACTAACCAGTCTAATACAAGATACAAATCCTATAGCATTTACATACAGCCTATAAGAATCATTACATTACCATACTGTGTTACATTTTAAACCCTAAAAACTACTCTTTGGACCCCTTCTGCTAAGCTAGTAGGGTCTGCTCTGACCCTTGGACCTGTCTGCAAGCAGAGGGTATTGTTTCATCAAATAGGGATTACCTTCAGCCGGCCATACTATTGTTTTCCAGTTGTTCAGTAACTAAGGTATCTCAAAGCTTGCTTTAATTTCAATCTGGCTTATAGTTTCCATATTCTCAAAATCTTTTGCCAGAGAATCATATTTTGTCTCCGTCTCTCTGGGTGCCTC